GTACGTGTTTGGAACGATATCGGAAGTGGGGGTGCTGGCAGTGGCCTGCTATTAGGACTACAATTTATTTGAAAATATCTTGGGTCCGATCGTCCACACCAGTTGGGCCCAATCGTCTATCACCCGAAGTTTTCATTACGATTATCAAGAACATACACAATCTATGCCCTGGGCTAGGCTTAGCTTGCTGTCGTCACTCTGCTACATATACTACATTACAACCGCATAACAAAGAAAGCGACCCACGTGGTGCATTCTTAAATATTACACACATTAATTAATTGTATTAGACGATAACACGATATCATTGATTGAACGATCTAACTAGGCCTACCCTTGCATCGCAGTAATACTGAACTAGGCCTAGCTTAGGCCTCATGTTTTTGTGGAAAGCTAGATAGTCGTTATGTACCCGACAGTCGGCTGCCTTTATATTTTCACCTGTTTTCAGTTTGCATTCAAAGGGTACATTGCTCCACAGCGAACTGTCGGGGATATAGTACCTTCATATGACTACTCATACGTATACAACAGAAAAAAACGTCGCATGGACTAAGTGAAAAATGGAGATCTAAATGAAGAAACGATGTATTTCAGCAAGTATTAAAACATTTTAGTTTTATTTTAGGCCTTCTTCAAAATACCTATGCCTACAGCAGATGATTTTTTTGCCGTAAAACCAAAATAGTTTCATTCATGCCGACATTGCGGTCGGTTAGCGTGAGCCCTGACTGAACTCTGCAGAAACTTCACATCGATCTTCGCATCGCGATGTAAAACAAAATGTCGGAAAACTTTTCTTTGACGCATGCGCATTTGCATAAATGTCTACACACACACATACACACTACACACAATAAAAAACATAGGAAATAGCAAGAGTGATTACAATAGTTCCTATTGCATTACATGCATAGGAACTAAAAATACAATGATCCTGCTAATCTCAATCGGCCGATGGCGAACAAGCTAACCACTACTCACCACCATTAATTGCATCTGTATTTTGCTGTAAATATTCACGCATTCTTGTCATGAGCCATGTTTTCTGACCGATTATCCTTTCCGCCTAACCACCATTCGTAATGTCCTTAAATAATCTTTTTTCATTTAAAAGTGCCTCTTGAATTTGATAATTTCCCATAAGAACCCCTCGATTTTCATCTATTTCCATAAGCGCCCCCTCAATTTCCACTCTCCTATTTTCATAAGCGCCCCGTTCGAATAAGCCACCCGTTTGAATAAGCGCCCCTCAGAAAGTGCAAAAAATATTTTAAACGCCCAGGCGCTTATTCGCGCGAGTACGGTACTGTAAGAACCATTTTCCACATCAGGGTCTGGTTCAGTATTTCCAGATGTATTTAGCAGACAGTGTATATTTAATTTTGTGCAAATAAATGTAAATTAATTTTTTAAAATGGTTAATTTAATTATTAAATTATTTACTTTAATTATTATTATTATTATTATTATTATTTCAAAGATCGTACTTGTCCATTTTGTATTTATGTTGTAGTAAGGTTTTGTATGTTTTAGATAGAAATATTTGGGAAAATAAATTGATGAATATTTTCGCATTTTATCTCCTTGATCTAGGAATTTATGAATGCACTTAAAACAATGGAATTAAAACAGTTCAAGATATTTTTCAAGGTAAATGTTTTCAATGCACCACATATAAAATAAAGAGATAACTCTATGCCATTTTGCAGTAGTGTTGAGCATTTTGTAGTAATGTTAAGGCAGATAGAATCTGTGAGAACAAAAAAATTAAATATAAATATTGTACATGTATGTCATATTATTTAAATATGATGCACATACAATAGCTTATGTACTTGTCATGACCGGATGCAACAATGTAATCATCATCATCTTCCTTTACTCTGCATAACCTCTATTAATAGGATATACTCACACAATGTTAATGGGGTGGCGACATTAGGGGGCCCAGGGGCCAGGGCCGCCATCAGGAAGAAAAGCCACAATTCGTCAATGGAGAAAGAAAATATATTTTCTACATATTTGCAGACTCTAAAATTGATTAAATAAGCCTTTGAAACCCCTAAATTGTCACATTTTTGAGCAACACCTTACTACATCCACTTTGCTCTCGTCGGGACCTGGCACCCGTCATCTCTGAATGTTAATGGTATGCATTACAGTTCACAGATGTGTTAACATTCCCCTCTCCCTTATCTTTTTGGAAAATTAATGTCTTTACCTTTAATAACATTTCAAATGTTTTCCAATTTAAAAGAAAAAAAAAATGAAAGATACTCAGGGTAGGATTTATAAGAAAGTATAATACATACTCCAAGTATTGAAATACACGCCATCGTGTTGGGATTCAATATTTCGACATTAATTATGTCATCATCAGGAATGAAAAAATTATCCATATTAGCAAGCTTATATGCACTAGTACCAAAAGTGTTTAACCAATCAAAACATTACCTCTAGTAGGTGACATAGCAGTGATTTAAACAAAAGATCAAAGCATTCATACTATAATGATCAAAGATACCTACAAAAACAAAGAAAGCTCTTTTGAAGCTCTGAGCCCATTGTTAAGCAAAGGGTGTAGTCTACGTATAGGGAACGCTTCTTTAAACTTTATGTTTACTTTTAGGATTTATGTATTACTGAAATAGTGACATATGCCCAAGAGGCATTCAATTCAATTCAAATTAGTCTGTTTTGCAACCATGGACAAATATTCACTGGACATTTCACAATAAAGATAATGCAATATTATAATACTGTTTGTACAGCTTTCCTGTTATTTCAACACACTGGGCATTTAATGTATACTTTATCATGCAAACATGATAATTTTATTGATAATTGGATTTTGTTTTTCTAATGCAGGGATTGTTTTCATTTTCTCCTATATAGAACTTTTTCCAGCAGCTTAGGTGATGACAGATGGTGTGTTACCTCTCTTAAATTATAATCCCAGCTGGTCATGTAACGGTTACATAGCTTAGCATATTTTGACAATCAGCAGACTATATACTGCATCAAAACCAATCACTGAATGCATTTCTCGGATGTTTGCATTTGCAATAAACCGTAGTGGTTTAACCACAGTGTTTAATGCAAAAAGAGGAATCGCAAACATTTCTGCTTTGATTCCTGAGTTACTCAAAAAAGGTAACTGTACTTGTTTCAACCTGGCAAACAAAAATCAGGTCAGGACTCCAACAGGCACAGAGGGATCTGATTCATCATTTCTCATCATATACTGTACTCTCCTACAATCTACCAGGTCATGAGACAACTAGAACTAGATTTGTTTCTACTGTATTATGCAACTACAGGTCTCCCTCCAAAATTAAAGACTACATTTGGGACTGGGGTTTCCATGGTCTCTATTGGGTTATTGGTATTTAATTATAATAATAATAATAAAGATAAAAAGACATGTTAATTTCGGACCACAAAAAAGTGGTCTTTAATTGGAGAGGACTTACTAAGAGGGAGATCATGAAAAGATAATATGTAAAATGTATTATGTTCAAAAAAGTAATCAAGAAAGCCTGAAGAGACTTAATACAAAAAAAATGTTTACAATTTTAATTTTTAGCATGAAGGCTTATTTTAAACATACGTTTAGGCCTAGTTATTTTGGTACCCATAAATATATTATGAATTTCTATGATTATATTATGTATTCTTAATATGAGAATTGTTTTAAATCCAGTGCTGTATGTAATAAAATATTATTTAAGAACACAATTGTCATTTATTCATTGAAGTTAATTCTGAAATATTTTTATACTGTACTTGTAGATTCTCAGTATACTAATGAAGGCAGTGATGATAATGATGGTGGTGATATGATATTAATTATGATGGAGTTCAATACATGAAAATACTGTAATAAAAAATCATGGTGTAGGTTGTGAATTGAGATCCCATAATCTCCACCAAAATTTCCCACCCAAACAATCCCTTGTTCAGCCTGCCAATCGTAAATTTATCAACCCCCAAATATTTACATTTCTTTTGCCTTTACATCTACACGATAAGAGATTCCATTTCATTAGGCCAATTTTGTTTTGGTCCAACTGCTCGACGAACTCTAGACGAGGGGGTGGCTTGACCTGTCCTATGGGGAAGCCCCTGCTGGCCCCCCCCCCCCGGCACTGCCACTGGGAGAGTTGCAAACAGGTTTTTTATTAACCTATTTTTTTCTAGTTTCCCCCCAAAAATCCAAATACATATAATACTCTGTAATTCTAGTCATAATTACAAACACCCACACATGGTTATTCTGAGGACATATTGTCCTCTAGCTTTGATGTAGCCAAAAGCCCATGTTTGCTCTTCATTTGTTCACCGCCCATATCTCCTTTGGGCATGTTAATTACAATAATAGCATTCTACTCCTCTATATTTGCGTAGGCTGATGTGATTACATTTTATGCTAAGTATCTTAATGACACCATGGGTGGGGTTGCCGGGAGGGCATTTCCCGCTTCCTGGGCAGACCCCCGACGCCATGACGATATTGTCCAGTAAAATATGTCTATCCAAAATCCACAATTTGGACCATACTAACCCATAAAACCTCTCCCTGTGAACCCTACCAGGTGACTAAGTCTTTAGTCACCCCCCACCCCCGTCGGACGTACATGTTAAATCCACTGATGGCAGATTTCTGGATCCACCGCTGGCACTAGATTGATTAGTAAAATACATATTTTTTATTGTTAAAATTTCTGAGGGAAAATGTCACATTACGACTTTCACGTCATCCTTTACAAGTACTTGCTTCACAATATAGGCCTACCTAATCAAGGTGGATAATGGGATATTGATGATATAATAATACTGTATTGTTATTTTTTTGGAAGTCTACTGACGTAAGCCGGTAATAATTTGTACAGTAATGTATACATTACTCTACTGGATTTTACAGTGTTTATCCTGGAGGACTGACGTAAAGTACGGCAAATAGGCCTTGTACTTCACATGCACTGGCGATTTATTTACGTCACCAGTGTTTTCCGGTTTAACAGCGAGACACGTCATTCATTCGTTCGTTCGTTCGTTCATTCATTCATTCATTCATTCATATATTCGTTCGTTTATTCATTCATTCCTTCCATTCATTCTTTCGTTTTTTCGTTTACTTATTCATCCATTCTTTGTTAGCAATATATTGGAAGCCTACTTTAAAAGAAAAAAACAGAATAAGAAACGTACAATTGCTTATTAACCACTGAATGCTAAATCATAAAACGTATAGACATGTCAGGGCAGTACAGAGGGGTTAGGTGTCAGTCCGACGCCATGGTTTAGGGGTTTAGTTGATCACCTCCATGGTATAGAACCACAAAAAAAAACCAAAATCGTACGGCCCGGGACGAAGAAAATGAGTCCTAACTAAGAAAGCAAGAGTTTACATATCAATGTAGTATCATACCTGTTGGTGCGAAACTTCCATCGACGCAGATAGCACTGCTTAAATGGATAGTCACATTATCGGTTTTAAAAGTCTTGCTTCATGTATAAAATATCATTAATGATCTATAAGGAAACTGACTCCATGCAGTAAACTTATGCAGTAAACTTATCTACATATTTCGGCCTGTCGATTTTAACAGCTTGAGCACCTCCCTAAATGGACATAAAAAAACTGTAACAGTCACTGTAAAAATAGACCACGCCTCCTGTGCTATCAATCACGTGGCAATATCATACAAACACATGTACAGTTTAGCAATAGTATACCTTCAACAGGGAGCATGTACATTATCTTACAGAGAAAAATACGTAAGTCAGAATTATTTATCATTTACAATAATTACTTATATTGTCCTGTGATAATGCCGTTTCCATAGGTCACTTTACATTTTCGTGTCTACTGCCCGCTTGCGGGGGCAGCAGCACACTGCGTATCCTAGTTCACCCTGCTTTGACCCTTTGACACCTTCATAATTGTTTGATATCAAATGGTCAGTTAAGTTATTTAACACTAATATCTATCTTCAACTATTCAACTTATAAGGTTAATAATATTGTTTACCAGGAAAATAAAATTCATATATGTATTGGGGCCTAAGTGGTTCTCATTTCACACATTCGTTGGGGATGGTAACCTACAAGTCTTCGCGAACCCCAAGTTTACTTTGCCAATATTCCACCAATAGAGTGAGAAAGATATAGAAGATTCGCCACAAAAGTACATCAAAACGATTTAATTATTGGTAAGCCTCCTAATGATTGGTAATGGGATGTGTATCACATTGTTGATGAAGGAGCAAAATAATGGAATATGAAAATTCGGTCAATGTAGGCCTATATATTCGTGTTCCACGTGTGTTCCGACAGAATAGAGAAAAATTGAAACAGCCTCAATACTAGACTTAAAGAACACTGATTTATTAGTAACTGGGATATATGTATATATAT